AGCGGCGCCGGAGGCAGCGCCAGGATACACGTGCGGAGGGCCACAAGAGAAAACGAACGACGAACGCTGGAGAGATATGCGGCCACATTGGTGCATCCAGCTATCGCCCAGGCTGGGCACGTCGTGCCTATCGAGATTTTCGGTAGTCTGTGCCCCGCAGACGGTCCTGACTGCTCTTGCGCAGGAGGGCCTGTGGCATCGGCGTTCTCGGCGCGGCCGCCCTGAGAATGCCACCCGCATGCCTGGGGATACGCCCCCGCTCCTCCAGAAAAGCAAAGCAACTCACTGCACTGCAGTTGCAGTGCAAAAGAAACGTGTGCGGCATAAAGTAGCGCAAACCAAAGCTGTTCAAACCAGAGCAACCCACTGCAACATCGAAAACAAGCATGACGCTCACACACGCATACACAGAGCTAATCATAGCACGGCCGTTACATGTGCCAGTTTGCCCACAACACCTTTACAAGGGGGCTAGCGCACTATGTATCACTGTTTTCCAATTGTCTTCTATCCAAGATAGCTCCAAAATAACCCTGGATCCAAAACTGTGGACGCCCCATTTCTCACATACTCACGCCGCCTTCTGCCAACTTCCGCCTCCTCCTCCTCCTCCTCCTACTCCCTCCTCCATCCCCCCTCCTCGGGCTCTCCTCCATCTTCCATCCCCCCTCCAATTCCCGCCGCATGCCCAGCATGGGTCTCCATAGCACCCCACGAGGAGCGGCGGAAATGGATGAAGCCGGAGTCGCCCAGGTTCGCCACCTGTGGGGGGCGAACGCGCTGGCAGGTGCGTGCCCATAGGCCGCAACCCCAGACAGGGAGGAGGAGCAGCGGGAAGAAGGGGGGAAGCCGAAGCCGAAGCGGAAGCTGCACGCCGGAGTCGTGCGCGCTCCGATGGAGAGCCTGCTCGCGCTCGTGAAGGCATAGATCATGGATTAGCCCAGATTTCCTCCACGGTGTTATCGTGGATGAGCTTTCCCAGAAGTAGAGGGGGCTGGAGATCCACCCCGACAATAAGCACCCCGACAACGCGACCGTTTCGTAAACGCGCCCGACGAAGGACTCGAACAACAAAGCGCTGTTTAGTAAACGCACGGGGCCGCTTAGTAAACGCCGATTGTGGGGGTCGGGGTGGATTCGTCCTCGTTGAAGAAGACCCACTGCGTTGCTCGACTACTGCTTGAAACATTGTGGCGCGTCCCTCCGCAGCTGACAGAGTATAACATATGCGGTCTTGTCCCGCGTGTTTGTCCTCTGTGTCGCTGCTGTCCTGGGCGAATAGGAAGGGGGGGAGGTGGGCGAGGAGAAACACCAGGATAAACACCAGAGAAGGAGGAGGGCTGACGTGTTCAAGTTCGGGGGCGCGCAAACATGGATTAGCGATCCATGGATTTGGCGCGCGGTATCCAAATCCATGGATCGGGGGAGGTGCCCTCCCCAAAATGCGGCCGGTGCCGCCTCGCTCGGCGGCGGAAATAAGCGATTTCCCGTGGAAGCGGGGCCCGCCGCTTATCCACGCCCCCTTAATCCATGTTTGCGATCGCCAGATATATACTTGCACGCAGGTTTCGATCACTCTGTGCGGTGGATTCCCTCCTTCCTTCATTTTGTTGTTGCTCAAGTGTTACTTTGGCTTATGATCAAATCTCTCCCTTCCCCTCAACATCGGCGGCGGGCATCGTTAACCATATTCGGGCACTCAGATCCTACCACTACCCTTTCAACATCCTGCTCCGCACGGGCCTGCCACCGAATTCGCCTTTAATTGTCTAGCACTGCGCTAGATCTGTGTTTTTCCAGGACCAGGTGCCACCCGATGACGCAACAGGCCCCGCCTCATGTTTGCCTAACGTCAAAGGGGAGGAGGAGGAGGAGAAGGAGGAGGAGGAGGAGAAGAAGAAGGAGAAGTGGGCGGGGAGAGAGGCGGGAGCAGGCGGATGAGAGGGCGGATGATATCTCTCGCCCTACCCCCCGCGCCTTGCTGCTGCTGTTGCTGCTGCTGCTGCTGCTGCTGCTGCTGCTGCTGCTGCTGCTGCTCATCGTGCCCGCCCCCCCTCCTCCCCACTGGGAGAGGCACCGCGACCCCTGTCCCGCCTGGGCGGGACAGCGCGCCCCGTCCCGACGCCAGCCGCTGGCGGTGTATAGGCCCGAGAAGGACGGCTGGTGTCCGTCACGGGGCGGTCACGACGCCACCCCAGCAGGCACACTTGACCCTTAACCGACGTCTCAGCAGCAGGCACCCTTGACAGAAGATGTCCAATGCAAGACGTCCCCTGTCTCTCCTCCCTCCCCTCTTGACCGACGTCGCAGGTTTTTTGTTTCGCGGCACAGGCCCCCAGGAATCCCGACCGCCCCTCCCTCAGCGACCAACCCCTCAGAATCCCAAAACAAATTTCTGACGGCCCAGGAGGCCGAGAGCATCGAACAGCTGACCGTTACGGCTGCTGTTCCGTCACCCCCCTTTCAGCTTCGCACCCTCCCTGAGGTAGAACCAAAGGGTGGGGACGGGCCGGAGGGGGGAACACGTGAACTTGGAGTCTGCGATGACACCGCCGCCCAGAGATCCGATGTCGTGATTTTTTCAATACGCCCCCCCACCCCCACCCAGAAGTCTCGACCCATACCCCGCGACCGGCGTTGCATGATGAGTCGTTTTTTGACGGTCCCGCGGCCCGGAGAGAGAGGGCCTCCAGAGGCCGAAAACGGCGAAAAACTTCCGTCGTGATGTCTGTCAATTCGTTGGATCTCTGGGCTGTCGGCGACAGGCAGGCCCTCGGCAGCGAAGCGGCACTCTTAGGGGGGGCCCGTGCCCAGATGGGCGCTGCCCGGGCCCTTCGGGGGAGGGGGACCGCCGCCTCCCCTCCCAAGCCTCGCTGCCCCTGGCCGCTGCCGCCCGCCCCTCGTGCCCGCCCCTCCACCTCCTCCTCCTCCTCCTCCTCCTCCTCCTCCTCCTCCTCCTCCTCCTCCTCCTCCTCCACATCCTGCTGTTCCTCCTCCTCCTCCTCCTCCTCCTGCTCCTCCTCCTCCTCCTCCTCATGCTCCTCCTCCTCCTCCTCCTGCTCCTCCCTCTCCTCTTCTTCCTCCTCCTCCACCTTCTCCTCCCCCTCCTGCTCCTCCTCCTCCTCTTCCTCCTCCTCCTCTTCCCTCCTCCTCCTCCTCCTCCTCCTCCTCCTTCTGCTGCTCCCCCTCCTCCTCCTCTTCCTCCTCCTCCTCCTCCTCCTCCTCCTCCTCCTCCTGCGACACAGATTGCCAACAACGGGGGGTCAGTGAGCCTGCCCCCTACCGCTGTACACAGCTCGAGGTCAGCTCACCTCCGAGCTCTCAGGAACCAGGGGACCAAGCTGAACAGCAATCCAGCGGCCCCGAAAGAACAATCTCCTCTGGTCAAGGCCTTTGAGGACCCTCCTGCCCCAGGCCGAGGGATGCCCGCAGACCTGGCCCAACTTGACCACGTGCGACGAACACATGGCGCCACAACTAACACAAACGACACCGCCCGAATTATCGCCACGCTCCACGCTGACCCACCTCCTCAGAGCGTGCCCCCCAGCGAGAACGACACGACGGGGGGGAGCACGCGGAGGTGGGGCGAGGGCGGCGGTGGCAGCGGTGGCGGCGGCGGCCAGCTCGCTGGCCTGGCGCCGCGCGGCGCGAGCCGCCTTGATCTGGGACGCCGTGAGGCGCTCGGTGTCGGTGGCCGCGAGGGGGGCGGCCCTGCCTACCTGCTCCCCCACCGCGCGCACAAGCCTCGAAAATTTCCGACACCGATCGCGAAGCTCGAAATCCAAGCGCCCCAGGCTCGTTCTCCTTTTCGCCCACTCGTCGGCAAATCGATTGCCAGCGAGCAGGCGTGGGTCGATGGCACGGCGCTGCTCTGGGGTGGGGTGGGCCTTGACTTTGACAAACGTGACGGAATCGGGCCCCAGTCCTCTAACTTTGTCCAGAGAAGCTCCCAGACATCAGCATGGGCAGAGAGCAAAGCACAGCATGCTTCCCGCCCACGCTTGACAACACCTGAGAAAACAAACTCACTATCAGTGTGGATGGTGACGGGTGGCATGACAACCCTGAGAGTGTTCAAAACCGCCACCAACTCAGCACGATCAATGCACTGAATTGGGCTCTCGACTCCGCCTCCGAAGACAACCGAAACACGAAAGTCATCGAGAGCCCTCGGAGGGGGGGATCTGGATGCATGGCAATGACAGCCCAGCCAGCGACGACAGCATTGGGCACATCGTGATCATAGATCATACATGGATCCATCTACGAACAAATCCCCAGTGAGCAAGCTTCGCTCTCCAAGGTTGAACTGCTCTGGCGCGGGCTCTGGCCGCTGCGGGAACCTGTCGAAAGGAAGAAGCACACGGCTGCCAAGCAGCAGCACAAGCTCGGTAGGTTCCTGCGGCAATACACGACAGAGAGGGCCCGCGGGCTGCAAGCTGGCAGAGACCAACCCATCACACAACAGATGTCGATGATACAACGTGCCAGGGAAATCATGGCAGATGCGGCAAAGCGGGGACTGCACGTATTTGGCCTCGAACATGCGCTGCTGCGTCCACTGGGCACCGATGACAACGGATTGAAGATAGGCCTTTTCATCAGGCGACAACGGCGAAGAGCGACCGAGCAGACTGAGGACTGGCTCGAGCAAGATGCCTGACTTGAGCTCAGGGCAGCCAAGCGTGGTGCTGATCTGCTTCCACTGCCAGGCCTCACAGGCCAGGTCAATGAGCTTCCTTAGCCCATGGACGCAAAGGGTTGCCGGCTGTATAGTGAGGCCCCAAGGAAAGGTCCAAGAACTAAAACCATCAGCCTGACTTCCCAACCGATCTAGCGTGGCCAAGTAGGCCGTGAAGGGCCCCGCAACGGATTGCCACGGACTGCCTTTGCTGGATCGAGCACGCTGCTGCGCTTGCCGAATTCCTTGAGTTATTCTGTGCTGGGGGACCCACTGCTGCTTCCACGCTGCCAACATGGCGCAAAGCGGGTCGGCGGAAGCCTTGAAAATAGGGTCCACCCGACTGCCAGGGGTGAGCAGGAGACGGAGCGTGAGGGAGGTGGAGCTGGTGGGACCTTGACTGCCTACCAACTGCCTAAGCCTCTGGAGCTCTTGCCCATTGGTCCCAGTGATGCCAGTGCCGTAGGAAACGCTGGTTTCCACGGTGGCTTTGACCATGCGAGCGACGAGTCGGCGACGTTTAGCTTTTTGCAAAATCTGTAAACGCCTAGAGCGGACGACAGCAGCAGCCAAACGCTCTCGCTTAGTGGTGCGACCCAACCTCCGCCCAGACCCAAAGTCAACACCCAAGTTCCTTTCAGAGCGAGAGCGCTGCCCTCCCAGGCATTTAAGGCTGGCCTCTAAAGACGTCCTGAGAGGGGCTACGCTGCTCATGACGCGCGTCTTATCCTTCGCCACCAACAGCTCAATTTTTTCTAACTGACGGGCTAACTCACAACCTGCTGCAGTGAGGTCTGCATGGGCGCGCTCCTCTTCACCGAAACGCTGCGGACCTATCTCATCGACAACTGTAGAGAGTGAAACCGCACGAGCAACTTTGCGCACCTCATCAAAGGGCTGTAGCAAGACGAGCTGTAGCATCACTGTTGCGAACACGCAGCCTGGCAGGACACTCTGCTCTGAAAGAATGGGCTCCGACACAAAAATGCCCATGTCTAAAATCCGCGGCTGACGATACAGCTTGATAAGGAGGTACAGTAGTCTCATCGGGAACCCAGTGCGCTCTGCGGCGGCCACGAGTTGATGGTGCCGAATGAGCTCAAAGGCCTTTTTGAGGTCGACCAAAACCGTCCCAGAAGCCATCCTTGGCCATGAGCCCACTCGGCCCACGCGGCCTGCACCCAGACGCACTTGCCTGCGGCCTTGCCGCGGGTCCCCCAAGACAAACTTCTAAAATTTCTTTTCTGTCAATCCTGAATCTCGGACTTCCGTAAGCGACACAAGACCCTCGCAAGCACAGGCAGGAGGGCAATCGGCCGAAACCCACCCAGGCGTTTGGCCAGGAAGAAAACTTTGACCCACGCGGTGGGCCAGTCCAGCCTCAGCTCAATCAAATGCAAAAGCTCACAGAGCGTGTCCAGGCCCTCGAGGCCCAGGTGCAGAAAATGCCGCTGGTTTACACAATCATAGCCTTGGCCCGTGGTGGGCTTGTAACTTTTTAGGGCTGCTAGCAGCTCAGGGACAGACGGACGAGGAGGAGGCTCGAGGAGGGAGAGATCTGGCCAGGGAAGCGCAGGGTGGGGCTCGGGGACGCACCACCATGACTCCCATTCAACCCTGAGCTGCTCAATTTGTTCAGCTGAGCCTATGGGAACGTGATCGACCGTCGTGTCGTCAGGCGCCCATCCTGTAGGCACCTTGGAGAAACTGAAAAGGGCAGAAGCGCCCTGCTCAGTACTGTGCTTGCGAACCCAATCCTCCCATCCCCGCTGCTTGGCTCGCTGGCTGATTCGAACGAGCTCAGCTTGCTGCTGGGCAAGCGTTTTTAAACTTTGCAGGTGGGGCGCGGAGAGAGGGAGGCTATGGAGGACGAGTCTAGCAACATTGATCGCTAGCTGGCACTGGCGCGGCAAAGAACTGGCTCGGCAATGTCTAGTGAGACGGCGCCTACGAGCCACAGCATCCCAGCCGCCCTGCAAGTTGTCGTAGTCCAGCAGCGCGTGTGCCAACCCTCGCCACCAGGTAGCTTCAGCATTGATCTGCGGAAATGGTACCGAACATGGTCGCGGAGGTCGAAGAGTCCTCAGACGAGGTGTGCTTCCGCGCCCTCGATAGTACTCGGCCTGCCGCGGCTCCACATCGAACGCATTCAACCATTTGGCTTCCGCAGCTTCAATGAACGCGGCCCAGGCTGTGTCAACATTGACGTCGGGCTGACGCATGCCGTCTGCGAGCCGCTCCCAGTTGGGTTCCTCAGACTCCCTGCAGCAGCCAATAGGAGCTTGGACTGGAAACTTGCGCGGCTGCTGAACCATACGAACTTCTGGGGGCCGACGTGGTACCTGAAGCCGAACCTGAACTGCACGATGCGGAGTGATCGCGATATGCTCCAGAACTGTCAGCTGCGCTCCTGCCGCTAGGAAGGGCGACATCACGAAATAGTCGATGACGCGCTCCGACGGCCTGACTGTGCCCAGCTTGGGGGCTACCACGACGCCACCAATGCCTGCCACCCAGCCACTCTCCATGAGCTCCTCGGGCGTGACTTGCCAGTCCGCACTGAGGATGAATGGAAATCCTGAGCTCTTGACGGCGTGGCCCATGTCGCAGAGGATGCGCCAATTTCTCTCACTGAGGTCTTCAGAATCGTGCAGGTACATGGTGCCAACAAGCATACCTCCTTTCGGGCCATGGCTCAAATGCAGGAGTGAGGCTCTGGCTGGACACACGCAATGCGAGAGGCCTTCTAGCTGGCTGAGCCCATAGCGAACAGGCGTGGCAATCATGGTGCCACCAGACAAACCCGCCAGGCTGTCTGAGGCGCCATCAGCGGCACCAGCGCGGACGGCGGGATTGATGGCTGCCTTCCAGCCTGTCTTGCGCAAGGCCTGCTCCTGCGCATCACGCTGGTGCTGCGGCACCTTGTGTTCTTGCACAAAAGCCAAGTCACAATCATACCATTCTTCAGATTGCCTGAGCAGCTCAAGCCCAGGCATGCTTGTAACATTTGCCGTGAGAACTGTCAACGGGCGGCACTGCGGGCTACCCCAACTGCGGTGGGACGTAGTAGGTGGACCGCATCTTCTTGAGCGCCTGGCCGAACAGCTCGATGGCACGCTGCTTGATGACCCGCTTGGCTCCCTCGTCGAGATCCATGTCATCTTCATCGCCGACTGCGCTGGCACAAGCCTCGAGCAGCTTCTGCTCGTTGCGGGCTGCCCATGCACGGGCACGCTCATCAGGGTCAGCGCCACCCAAAGGAGCTGCAGTGGGCGGCGCAGGCTGCCCTGCACCCGCTGCCCCTGCTGCCGCGAGGCCGCCTCCCGAAGGGGGGCCCGCGCAGGCGGCGCCAGGCTGGGCACCGCCAGCGGGGGCGGTGCCAGCGGGCGCACCAGGGGGGGGTGCCGGGCCTGCGCAGCCTTCGCCTGTAGCTCCTGCTGGGCGGTCGCCAGCTGCGCCGCCACCTCCGTGAGCTCTGCCTCGAGCTCGGCGTCGCCAAGCAGCCGCGCCTGCTGCAGCAGCCCGTCGCACTGGCCAGGCGGCGTGCCAGGCGCGGCGGCGGCCGCGCCACCCACTCGCGCCAGTGCCGCTGCCCCGCGCGCGGCCGCCTCCTTCTGCTGCTGCTGGAGCTCCTCGAGCTCGGCGCCAACCTCTGCTGCCCAGCGGACGGCACGGTGCAGGTTCTCCTGCGCCTTGTCGTACTTTTTCTGCACCTTGCCAAGCCGATCCGTGAGCACATCACTTTCCTTCTGCGCTGCCCTTGACACCAGCTGCGGATCACCCGAGAGGAGGCCTCGCTGGTGCTGGATGCGATCCCTCGCCGACTGGCTAAGCGTGTCCGCCACGGCCTCATACGCGGCAGGGTCCATGGCGGCATAGGCGCGGACCTGCGCATCGGTGAGGGGCGGAGGTCCTTTCGGCTTGGGCGAGCGTACGGAAGGGGAGACGCCACCAGCCCAGACGCCGCGGGGCTGGACCACGCGCTGACTGGGGCCTCCTTTGTCCTTGCCACAACGGAGGCAGCGGTCACGCCATTCATAGTTGTACTTGAACTTACACTGTTTGTTGGGACAACACCAACAAGACTGCTGCCAAAATGCCATCTCACACCCTCGGAGGGTGCGACACACGCCGTAGGTGCGCAAAGGCAGCGAGGGATGAAACCTCAGTACAGTCCCGAGGTGTGGAGCTGGTGGGGCCGCGGATCCCCTTGCCAAAGAAAACTCTCGTCCTGAGCAAACCGCTACGGACTTGAGCCAAAATGGCTACGGATCCTCCTCCTCCTCCTCCACCTCCTCCTCCTCCTCCTCCTCCTCCCTCCTCCTCCTCCTCCTCCTCCTCCTCCTCCTCCTCCTCCTCCTCCTCCTCCTCCTCCTCCTCCTCCTCCTCTCCTCCTCCTCCTCCTCCTCCTCCTCCTCCCTCCTCCTCCTCCTCCTCCTCCTCCTCCTCCTCCTCCTCCTCCTCCTCCCTCCTCCTCCCTCCTCCCTCCTCCTCCTCTCCCTCCTCCTCCCACCTCCCGCTCCTCGCTTCGCTCCTCGCTCCTCGCTCCTCGCTCCTCGCTCCTCCTCCTCCTCCTCCTCCTCCTCCTCCGCCTCGCTCCCCTGGCCGCTGCCGCTCGCCCCTCGTGCCCGCCCCTCCTGCTCCTCCTCCTCCTCCTCCTCCTCCTCTCTCCTCCTCCTCCTCCTCCTCCTCCTCCTCCTCCTCCTCCTGCTCCTCCTCCTCCCTCCCCCTGCTCCTCCTCTTCCTCCTCCTCCTCCTCCCTCCTCCTCCTCCCTACATCCTCCTCCTCATCCTCCTCCTCCTCCTCCTCCTCCTCCTCCTCCTCCTCTCCTCCTGCTCCTCTCCACTTCCTCCTCCTCCTCCTCCTCCTCCTCCTTTTCCTCCTCTCTCCTCCTCCTCCTCCTGCTGCTGCTCCTCCTCCTCCTCCTCCTCCTGCTCCTTCCTCCTCCTCCTCCTTCTCCTCCTCCTTCTCCTCCCCCTCCTCCTCCTCCTCCTCCTCCTCCACCTCCTCCTCCTCCTCCTGCTCCTTCCTCTTCCCTCCTCTTCCCTCCTCCTCCTCCCTCCTCCTCCTCCTCCTCCTCCTCCTCCTCCTCCCTCCTCCTCCCTTTTTCGTCTTCTTTTTCTTCTGTTTCTTATTCTTCTTCTTCTTCTTCTTCCTCCTCCTCCTCCTCCTCCTCCTCCTCCGCCTCCTCCGCCTCCTCCTGGGCCCGTCCCTCCCGCTGTCGTTGCCCCTTTGCAGCCGGTGCCTTTCCGCAAAGGCCCCTCATCCATCCCCCGCCGGCGGCGGGCATCGAGTCATCAATGAGGCCAGCCCACAGGAAACCTCCCACAAGAAGCCCAACCCTGAGACCCCAGGACGTCCAGTGATTCTCGGTGTGGGAGCGCCACGCTCTCCATCGCAAAACCATCGAGACTCAAGAATCCTGGGGCACCCTGGAGGCAAGCAGGGTGTTTCTTGGCATGGGCCTCCACAGTAATCATGGAGGCTCCTGGAGCTCCAAGAGCTCAAGGCGCACCGAGGACTGGGGGCTCCAGGTGTTCGGGCCGAGGATCGATGAGATCGAGGGGACCGAGCGTCGCCCAGATTCGCCCCACCCACTGGCGCGCGGGTGGCGCCGAGGAGCTGCGGTAGCGGGGGGGGGGAGGAACGAGGCTGCATGTGCTTGGGTCGCAGATTGAGGCTCGAGGGGATCGAGGGGACCGTCGGTCCAGGATCGAGGGCCGACCAAGAGGCCCCCCACTGGCGCGCGGGCGGCGCCGCGCAGCCGCCACCGCAGCCACCGCCGCCTCCGTCGGTCGTCGTCGTCCCCATCGGGTGCCGCCACTCGCCCCTCGACCTGCCCCCGCTGGCCGACCCGGCTGGCGGCGGACGCGCCGGCGCCCAGCTGGGCCGCGGCGCGGCGGGCTGGCGAGAGGGGAAGAGAAGGAACGTTGGGCGTTGCTTCGCGAGGGGCGTTCAATTGGGAGGGGGGGCGAAGAAACGTGCACCTGCCGTGCCCCTCTCGTGCCGCACGGGGCCCCTGCAGGGCAGTTGCGGTGCGCGTTTCGTCGCCCCTCCCCCAACAGATGTCCACGCCTAAGCGATCCAGGATAACTCTGGTCCAGGGTAACTCCGGTTTGGGTCCCCCGGCGCACAAACCAGTAGCTACCTCTGACTGCCCCCGATGAGTCGAGACGGGTTGGACGCCCGAATTATCCAGGATAACTCTGGTCTGGGGTAACTTCGGTGGGGGCCCGCGAGGCACGAATCTGTAGTTCCCCCTGACCACCTCCAGGCCAGATGACTCAGGGCTCTGACTGATAGCACCTCCACGTCACGCAACGCCCAAGAATAGACAAGCGCTCTCCACTACTCGCAAAGCCGCGGGAGGTTCAGGATCCACTGCGTCGAGGCAAACATGTGCGTTCGCGGTAGTTTGCGAGTAGTTAACCCCGTTCCCCGGATAATCAAGAGCACCCCCCCTTAACCCTTGAGTGGTTATTATCCCTGGGTCAGACAAATTTGATTGTGGCGAGGGGCGGCGAGGCCGAACTTGATTATCGCGGGGGGAAGTTGCGAATCGAAATTGCCGCCCAGGCCTGCAGCAAATGCTTGCCGTGCAAGGACGGAACCAAAGGGTGCCGAGCTTGCATAAGCGAATGGTTCGAGATGGTACGCAAGAGAGGTTTCTTGGCCAGGAGCGCCAAGGACCTCTCTTGCGCAGGCCACCTTTAGATGCGAGACTCGAGGACACCAAGGACAGCTTTGTGCAAGGATCTAGATACACGAGCGCCCAGGATCATCATCATCATCATCATCATCAACATCATCATCATCATCATCATCATCATCATCATCATCATCATCATTATCATCATCGTCGTCTTCATCATAATCATCGTCATCATCATCATCATCAGCATCATCATCATCACCACCGCCATCATCATCATCACCATCATACTCCTCCTCATCAGCATCATCATCATCCACATCATCACCATCACCATCATCATCATCACCATCACCATCACCATCATCATCGTCATCACCATCATCACCATCATCATCATCAGAATCCTCATCTTCATCCTCATCATTATCAACACCATCACCATCATCATCATCATCATCATCATCACCAACACCATCATCACCATCATCATCACCATCATCATCATCATCCTCATCATCATCCTCATCATCATCATCAGCATCATCAACATCAGCATCAGCATCAGCATCAGCATCAGCAGCATCAGCATCAGCATCAGCATCAGCATCAGCATCATCATCAGCATCATCATCATCCTCATCATGAGCATCATCATCATCAGCAACATCATCATCATCACCATCACCATCATCATCATCATCATCATCATCATCATCATCATCATCATCATCATCACAATCTTAATCACCATCATCCTCCGCCGGGGAAAAAAACGTTTATTAACCCCCGCAGACCCCGAACTTTATTATCCCCAAGGGGGTCGGCACTCTGCGAGTACGTAGTGGAAGGCGCTCGGTGAAAGACCGGCTCGCCCGTGCGGCGCCGGCGCACAGGAGGAGCTCCGCGCACTACTGGGGAGCACGAGCGGCTGCGCGGGGGTCGGCCCAGAGAGGCGGCGGCGCGCCCGGAGAGGCGCGGCACCTCGGAGAGCACGGCTCGGGAGGTGCGCGGCACCTCGGGGCGAGCCTGATGGGCCTGTTTTCCACCACCACCACCACCATAAGTTAGAGGGGGAGGGGGTCCTCCTCCTCCTCCTCCTCCTCCTCCTCCTCCTCCTCCTCCTCCTCCTCCTCCTCCTCCTCCTCCTCCTCCTCCCCCTCCAACTTATGGTGATGGTGGTGGAAAACAGGCCCATCAGAGCCCCCTGCGGCGAAAAAAGCGGGCGCCCAGTAGTGCTCGGGGGCTGCTCCGGGCATCCCTGGCCCAAGGCGCTCCCAGCTCGTCGCTCCACTTTTGGGTGCCCTCGCGGTGCCCTGGCCTCGCGAGGGGGGTGCTCTGGAGGCCGTGGGGGCCTCCTCGGGAATCCTGGGGGAGCCTTGGGCGGAGGAGGAGGAGGAGGAGGAGGAGGAGGAGGAGGAGGAGGAGGAGGGACACACTCGGCTACACGCAAGAGTGACCCTAGGCAAGGGTGGCCTTTGGTGCGCGGCTCTACGGGGGGCGCGGGGGGACCAAACCCGAGCACGCAGGCCACTGCTATCGCATCGCTTTCAGCGATCGGGGGGGCCCGCAGTGGGTCCGCGCCGAGGGCCACTCCGGCGAAGGGTCGCTCTCACGTGCAGTCGACACCGCTGGCAGCCCCCGAGATGTGCGCTGCCCGGCGAAAACTTCCCAGCTCACTGGAGCGAGTGGTCGGCGGGAGGGCGCGCCGCGGGGGGGGGGGCCACGGGAAGGAGCGGGAAGCGAGGAGCGTGGAGGGGGGAGCATGAGCGAGAGATGATGTTGCTGATGATGATGATGATGATGATGATGATGATGATGATGATGATGATGATGATGATGATGATGATGATGATGATGATGCTGATGCTGATGCTGATGCTGATGCTGATGATGCTGATGATGATGATGATGCTGATGCGGTGATGATGATGATGATGATGATCTGATGATGATGATGCTGATGCTGATGCTGATTGCTGATGATGATGCTGATGATATGATGATGATGATGATGATGATGATGCTGATGATGATGATGATGATGATGATGATGATGAGGAGGAGGAGGAGGAGGAGGAGGAGGAGGAGGAAGGGGAGGAGGGAGGAGGAGGGAGGAGGGAGGAAGGAGGAGGAGGGGAGGAGACGGAGTAGGGAGAAGGGAAGGGAGGAGGAGAAGGAGGAGGAGGAGGATGAAGAGGAGGAGGAGGAGGAGGAGGAGGAAGAGGAGGAGGAGGAGGAGGAGAACGGAGGAGAGAGCATTGGAGGAGAAACAAGCCGGAGTTGACGCAGACTGGGAGACGAGCTCCACTCACGCGAGAGACAGAGAGAGAGAGAAAGGGAAAGACAGAGAGACAGCGAGAGAGAGAGAGAGAGAAAGAGAATGAGAGAAAGAGAGAGAGAGAGACAGAGACAGAGACAGAGAGAGAGAGAGAAGAGCAAGAAAGAGCGAGGAGGAACAGTGAGTAGGAGCAGGGGGGAGGCGGACACGGCATGGAGGAGGGGCGAGGGAGAGGGAGGGAGAACAAGATTGGCCCAGAACTCCGACGTTGTGTCTTGTTGACAGCGTGGACCCCGTGGGCCCGAGCCATTCTTCTGACCGTCCCGGGGCCCGGTGAGGATCCCCGAAGGCCGACAGATATCAACAGCATTCCGTCGGGATCGCGACGCGAGGGGGCGAGGGATGGGGGGAGGAGGCCCGCCTCATGAGCATCGTCAAGCCGACCCCTATTCCCATGGGCGTGGCCTGGGCCCCACTGGCCCTCCAGATGGGGCGGTCTGGCCCCCTAGAGGGGGACACGGGCCGTTTCGTTCGGGCCTCGCGGGGCATGTCCCCAGCTGGGGTGCTGAGATAGTGGGGGTCTGGGTAGGGATGGCGATGGGGATGTGGGGTCGGTTAAACGATGCTGACCTCGGGCCTCAGGGCGCCCTCAGAGCCGCGTCCGCCAGGGAACCCGCCAGCTCCTCGCTGGCGCAAGTCAACAGGACCACGGCCACCTCGCCTCGAGGGCCCTTCCGCAGGCAGCCGAGCTCGCCCTGCTGGGGGGCCAGGGACCGAGGTCCTTTTTGTGGACCACGCGAGGGCGTCTGGGTCTGGGACTTCGTCCTCCCCTCTCGTTCTCCTCTTGCTCCTCCTCCTCCTCCTCCTCCTCCTCCTCCTCCTCCTGCTCCTCCTCCTCCTGCTCTTCCTCCTGCTCCTGCTGCTCCTCCTGCTTTTCCTTCTCCTCCTCTTCCTCCTCCTCCTCCTCCTCCTCCTCCTCCTCCTCCTCCTCCTCCTGAAGGCAAGGGAAGGGGAGGAGGGCAGAGGCGGGAGGGGGATCAGCAGGATGATGATCAGCACGAGGAGGACGAGCACCAGGCGGAGGGGGAGGAGCAGGAGCAGGACGAGGAGGAGGAGGAGGAGGAGGAGGAGGAGTGCACGTACTCAAAAAGGAGGAGGAGGAGGAGGAGGAGAAGGAGAAGGAGGAGGAGGAGGAGACGGAGGAGGAGGAGGAGGGAGAGGAGGAGGAGGAGGAGGAGGAGGAGGAGGAGGAGAAGGAGGAGGAGGAGTGAGGAAGAGTCAGGAGTGAGGAGAAGGACGAAAGATCAAGCGCAAGCGGACGCCAGAAAGGCGATGCTCCTGTGAGTCTGCATGGTGTGCCCTCTACGTGAGTGAACAATGCATGACCTATCGCCGATTGCTAATACACAAATGCCTCAAGCTCAAACGAACTTGATACAAATCCGCCCTCGAGCCATTCAGCTTGTAGATATCTGAAGACATATGCGGCCGAATGCGCACCCAACATTGATAAAGGTATGCTGCCGCGTCACGTTACAACCGTCAATGAATGTGTCAAGGATTCACCCTGGACCCATCCAATTCGGAAAGAACATGTTCAGAACCGGCCTACCCCGCAGGACAGTAACAGCACATGCGCGCGGCGCAGGCGCGAGAGCGCGACTCTGGAACGACATCGGCTGCAACTTTGCACCTGTTGAAATTTCAAGCGCTATGGCCCGAACGTGGGAATGGAGCTTGTAAACGATACGCGCTCAAAAACGCTGCCGAGCCCGGCCTGCTGGGAGGAAGAAAACGCATGATATGATTGTCTATCCCCCGCCCCCTTTCCGTTTCCCCAGGCGCCCGAGATGCCGTTTGAGGGGGGGGGGGAATAGCTCCCAAGCACAAGACGTCTCCAGACGGGCTCCTATACGAGCAAGAAGCCCCCCAAGACGGTGCCAGATGGACACGGGGCCTCCACGGAATACGCCCAGCGGGATCCAAGCAGGAGACTCTAATGTCGGAGCCACAATGTTTAGATTGATGGCCTTCAAGATGGCTCCAGCAGGGCCCCCACGGCTCCCAAGAAAGCCCCCCTCCCCCCCGAAAACCTAGAGACAACCTCAGAGGCATCACACGGGCCCCAGGACACCTCCCAGATGTCTGCAACGAGAACTCACAATGCATTCATGTTCAGCGTTGCAAGCCTTGCTGTCTCAATGTATGTTTATGTATGCATGAGCTGTATATGCGCACATGCACATACACAAACATACGCGTCCACATATACATACATAAGTATAGATACGTGTATGCATGCACACATACCTACATACTTACATACATGCATGCATGTGTGTATGCATGCACACATACGAGCATCCATACACCTACATATACTTACATGCACGTCTGCATGCATGCGTACATACACACATACGTACATACGTACATAAGTACATCCATCCATACATCCATACATACAAACATGCATACCTACATACATACATACATTCATATGGGCGCTGGCGTATCCCCGCCCCCCTGAAAAATCGCAGGATGATGCAAAGCCTTTCTTTCTCTTCCTCCTCCTCCCCCTTCCTTTGGAAAGCGCCGCAAAATGATCCCATTGAGGCCTCACAACAGGAATCTTTTGGAAACACACAAAGTGATTCTATTGGAAAGCCTGACAACAGGAATCCGCTGGAAAGCGCCACAAAAGGGATTCTATTGGAAAGCCTCATAGCAGGAATCCTTTGGGAAGCGCCACAGGGATTCTATTCGAAAGCTTCAGAATCGGATTCCTTTGGGAAGCGCCACAGAGGGATTCTGTTAGAAAGCCTCACAGGGATTCTGCTGGAAAGCCTCACAGCAAGAATCCTTTGGAAAGCGCCACACAAGAAATCGATTGGAAAGCCTCACAAACGGAATCCTTTGGAAAGCATCACAAATGAATTCTATTGGAAAGCCTCACAAAAGGAATCCTTTTGACAGCGCCACAAAGGGATTCTATGGAAAGCCGCACAAAGGAATTCTATTGGAAAGCCGCACAAAAGGAATCCTTTGGAAATCATCACGAAGGGATTCGATTGGAAAGCCTCACAAAAGGAATCCTTTGGAAAGCGCCACAAAGGAATTCTATTGGAAAGCCTCACAAAAGGAATCCTTTGGAACGCACCACAAAGGGATTCTGTTGGAGAGCCGCACAAAAGGAATCCTTTGGAAAGCGTCACAAAGGGATTCTATGGGAAAACCAAAAAGCCAAAAAAAAATATTGAAAAAACAAAAAAAACAAAGAAACCAAAGACCAAGGGCTGAGAAACCAAAAAAAAGATTGAACAAAAAAATCAATACTTACTCCACCTCTCGTCCTCCTCCTCCCCCGCCTCCTCCTCCTCCGCCTCCCCTTCCTCCTCCTCCTCTTCCTTTTCATCCTCCTCCTCCTCCTTCTCCTCCTCCTCCTCCTCCTCGCCCCCCACCCCTTAGCCCTCACCTTTCACTCCTCCTCGTCCTCCTCCTCCCCCTCCCTCCTCTTTCGCCCCTTGCCCTGCGAGGAGGAGGAGGAGGGGGGGGAGGAGGGAGCGGAATTGAGGAAGAGTGGGATGGAGGAGGAGCGGGATGGAGGAGTGAAGTGGAGGCGGAGAAGCGGAATGGAGGAGTGGTCCACCTCCTCCTCCTCCTCCCCCTCCCCCCCTTGCCTTCTCCTCCTCCTCCTCCTCCTCCTCCTCCTCCTCCTCCTATCCATCTCTCTCCGGTCCTCCTCCTCCTCCTCCTCCTCCTCCTCCTCCTCTTCCCTCCTCCTCCCCCTCCCATAGAAGCGGGGCAAGGACGGGGGGTGAGGGCTGAGGGGTGGGGGGCGAGGAGGAGGAGGACGAGGAGGAGGAGGAGGAGGAGGAGGAAGACGGAGAGAGAATGGAGGAGGAGGAGGAGGAGGAGAGGAGGAGGAGGAGGAGGAGGAGAAGGCAAGGGGGGGAGGGGGAGGAGGAGGAGGAGGTGGACCACTTCTCCATTCCGCTTCTCCGCCTCCACTTCACTCCTTTTCCCTTTCCTCCTCCATCCCACTCTTCCTCAATTCCGCTCCCTCCTCCCCCCCCCTCCTCCTCCTCCTCGCAGGGCAAGGGCGAAGGAGGAGGGAGGGGGAGGAGGAGGACGAGGAGGAGTGAAAGGTGAGGGCTAAGGGGTGGGGGGCGAGGAGGAGGAGGAGGAGGAGGAGGAGGAGAAGGAGGAGGAGGAGGAGGAGGAGGAGGATGACGAGGAAGAGGAGGAGGAGGAAGGGGAGGAGGAGGAGGAGGCGGGGGAGGCGGAGGACGAGAGGTGAAGTAAGTATTGAAATATTAGGTGTTTTTCTGTTTATTCAAAATGTTTTTTGGGGTTTTTCAGCCCTGGGTCTTTGGTTTCTTTGTTTTTTTTTGTTGTTTTCAATGGTTATTTTGGGTTTTTCCCCACATCCAAAGTGGGGTTCTTGTTTTCTCTGGACACCCCGCGCAGGAACAGGAACACACACACACACACACACCCACTCACACTCACTCACACTCTCTCATCATCAACCTCATCAGCATCATCGATGATGCTCTCACATGCCTAATCACTCACATACTCATCAGTATCATCACTCGCACTCTCTCACACGCTCATGAACATCATCATCATCATCGGCATCGGCATCATCCTCATTCAAACATCATCATCGCCACCACCACTCGCAATCAATCATCATCCTCTTCACCACTCATCTTCACCACCACTCATCATCCTCATCCTCATCATCGTTGAGTAAATTGTGAGGAAGTCTCAGGCGGGAGCCCCCTCCCTATGGGGCCCGCAGATCATGTTGGTAATCCGAGCGGGTCATCGGAATCCTGTAACTGTCGTCACTTTTGAGCTCCCCAGGCCTGAAAATGGAGGAAGTCTCAGGCGGGAGCCTCGTCTGTGAGTGAATTGGGAGGAAGTCTCAGGCGGGAGCTCCCTCCCTATGGGGCCCGCAGATCATGTTGGTAATCCGAGCGGGTCATCGGAACCCTGTAACTGTCGTCACTTTTGGGCTCGTCAAGCCTGAATTTGGAGGAAGTCTCAGGCGGGAGCCTCGTCTCTGAGTGAATGTGGGGAAGTCTCAGGCGGGAGCTCCCTCCCTATGGGGCCCGCAGATCATGTTGGTAATCCGAGCGGGTCATCGGAATCCTGTAACTGTCGTCACTTTTGAGCTCCCCAGGCCTGAAAATGGAGGAAGTCTCAGGCGGGAGCCTCGTCTGTGAGTGAATTGGGAGGAAGTCTCAGGCGGGAGCTCCCTCCCTATGGGGCCCGCAGATCATGTTGGTAATCCGAGCGGGCATCGGAATCCTGTAACTGTCGTCACTTTTGGGCTCCTCAAGCCTGAATTTGGAGGAAGTCTCAGGCGGGAGCCTCGTCTGTGAGTGAATTCTGAGGAAGGCTCAGGCGGGAGCTCCCTCCCTATGGGGCCCGCAGATCATGTTGGTAATCCGAGCGGGTCATCGGAACCCTGTAACTGTCGTCACTTTTGGGCTCGTCAAGCCTGAATTTGGAGGAAGTCTCAGGCGGGAGCCTCGTCTCTGAGTGAATTGTGAGGAAGTCTCAGGCGGGAGCTCCCTCCCTATGGGGCCCGCAGATCATGTTGGTAATCCGAGCGGGTCATCGGAACCCTGTAACTGTCGTCACTTTTGGGCTCCTCAAGCCTGAATATGGAAGAAGTCTCAAGCGGTTTTGTCCAGGGCGGAGGCGAAGCAGCTCGCGGCAGAGCTGGGTTTCGTGCTGCCTTCCGCCTGAGCGCGGCTGCGCCTCGCTCGAAGCCCGCGGGGTTGTCCCAACGGCTTGGTCTTGCGCGCCAACGGCTCGCGGGGTTGTCCCGACAGCCTGGCCCGCGGGGTTGTCCCAACGGCTGCGCGACGTGACCAGTAGAGAACGCGCCTGTGCTGGCCGTGGCGGCGACGGCGCCGAGGAACATCGACATGCGCGCTCATGCAACAGGAAGGGGAGGAGGTGGCGGGGCGCGGAACAAACAGGGGGGCGAGGATGGGGACAACGTAAGGAGTGGAAGGGGGGCCCGCGCCAAGGCGACAGGAAATATACGCAGAAGAGACAGCCAGGACGCCTCACCAACCACGAGGACGACGGTGATGGTTTTTTTTCCAGATTCGCCCAGAGGATTCTTATGTGGGGTTCTTCCGTCGGAGTAAGTTGGCTTTCCAATAGAATCCCTTTGTGACGCTTTCCAAAGGATTCCTTTTGTGCGGCTCTCCAATAGAATCCCTTTGTGGTGCTTTCCAAAGGATTCCTTTTGTGAGGCTTTCCATCAGAATTCCTTTGTGGCGCTTTCCAAAGGATTCCTTTTGTGCGGCTCTCCAATAGAATCCCTTTGTGGTGCTTTCCAACGGATTCCTTTTGTGAGGCTTTACAATAGGATCCCTTTGTAGTGCTTTCCAAAGGATTCCTTTTCGTGAGGCTTTCCAATAGAATCCCTGTGTGGCGCTTTCCAAAGGATTCCTTTTGTGAGGCTTTCCAATAGAATCCCTGCGTGGTGCTTTCCAAAGGATTTCTTGTTTGAGGCTTTCCAAAAGAATTCTTTTGTGCGGCTTTCCAATATAATCCCTTTGTGGTGCTTTCCAAAGGAATCCACTTGTGAGGCTTTCCAAAGGATTCCGATTGTGAGGCTTTCCAATGGATACCGTTTGTGAGGCCTTTTAATAGAATCCCTTTGTGTGCTTTCCAATAGATTCCGATTGTGATTCTTTCCCATAGAATCCCTCTGTTGCGCTTTCCAAAGGATTCCTTTTGTGGGGCTTTCCAATAGAATCCCTCTGTGGCGTTTTCCAAAGGATTCTTTGTGGGAGGCTTTCCAATAGAAGCCTTTTGGTGTGCCTTCCCAAGCAAGGAGTGGAAGCGCAATGGAGTTGGATTGAGCGTTTTGCATCGCCCTGCGATTTTTCAGGGGGGCGGGGATACGCCAGCACCCATATATATATATATATATATATATACATTCTCATACGCACCTCTCCGAGGGAGTAGAGCTCAGAGGGGATTAATGCGTCCGTGCGTGCGTCCGTCTTTGATTTTAATGGCCGTTTCGCTAGGGACATCCTCGAAATTCTGAAAATCGGTGGCACCCCTCACGCAGATCGTGAAGGAGAGGTCCACAAACACATAGGAATTCAACCATGTCTACATCAAACCTTCAAAAACACAGTGTATTTCCAATGATTTTGACCTCCTCTATGCGAGAATCGCCGTTTCGCCTGAGACACCCTCCCCAAATCGGGCCTTTGTCGAACCATCTTTGAGCAATCTGGCCGTTTCGCCAGGGACATCCAAGAAATTCTGAAAACCGGTGGCCACCCTCACGTAGATCGTGAGGGAGAGCCGACACACGGCCACAACAACCACACGCATCCGTCAGGATAACACCCCCCCCGCCGCACACACGCCAGACCAGAATCCCCATCCCAGTGGAGAGCAACACGCGCGTTGGGCAGAAATCCCCGGCCGCAACTCAACACTCCCACTCGCCGCACTCACGACAGACCAGAATCCCCATCCAAGCGCAGAGCAACACGCACGTTAGGCCAAAATCCCCGGCCACACGGCAACAACAACCTCACGCATCCGTCAAGTCAACACTCCCCCCCGCCGCACACAAATCCAAATCCAATCGGAGAGCGACACGCGCGTTAGGCCAAAATCCCCGGCCACACGGCAACAACAACCACACGCATCCGTCAAGTCAACACTCCCACCCGCCGCACACACGCCAGACAAGAATCCCAATCCAAGCGCAGAGCAACACGCACGTTAGGCCAAAATCCCCGGCCGCACCGCGAGCATCCACCCGTGGCATACACGTCAGCCCAGACACTCCTGACAATGACGCCAGCCAGGTCAGGCCAAAATCCCCGGACGTAAGGCGAGCGCGACCCTCCGTCAAGCATCACGGTGGTCCCGCCATGCCGAGGGAGCGGCAACACCACACGGCAACAACAACCACACGCAGACGTCAACTCAACACTCCCACCCGCCGCACTCACGACAGACCAGAATCCCCATCCAAGCGCAGAGCAACACGCACGTTAGGCCAAAATCCCCGGCCACGCGGCAACAACAACCACACGCATCAGTCAAGTCAACACTCCCACCCGCCGCACACAAATCCACATCCAATCGGAGAGCATCACGCACGTTAGGCCAAAATCCCCGCCCACACGGCAACAACAACCACACGCATCCGTCAAGTCAACACTGCCCGGCTGCCGACTGACGGCTGAGTCTGTGGTCTTAACGCATCAAATGGTGGAGCTCCCACTTCTCTTCGCACCCTGCGTCGGTATCAACATGCATTTGTTGTATGAGCCTGGGCACGCACGTGCCACTTGTGTATATATATATATATATATATATATATTCCTCTTCCTATATGTTTACAAGCCCGGGGGGTAACCCTCCCCCCAAGAAAAAACTGGACCCCCGGGATCTGGGGTTCTCCGGCTCCCTTGGACGTCCTTGGAAAAGGTCATCCGGCTTTCCAGGTCTCCACAAACGCCTTGCCAGCAGACCCAGGGCGATCCGAGTGGTCATCAGAAAGGCTCAAGGGAGGCCCCAGACAGCACAAGAGCGCTCCAAGAGGGACTCCAATTGCGCCAGGACGGCCCCAAAGACCCCCAAGGCACCCCAAAAAGCTTTGCAACAGGATGGGGAATACGCGTGCAGAGGAAGCGCAGCACGGGGTCAAATACCATGGCCCACAGGGAACCAGACATCGGACAGCCTTGTTTGATGCCCCTCATGCACCAGAAGCCGGCGTCCTGGGGTCCACGGAAAAAAGATCTGGCACCAAAACCGCTGGAAGAAACATCTTATCCCATTCCCCATGTACTCAGGGAAACCCATCA